TTATGCATTCCATTAGAAGTAAAAAGCCAAGAGAAATAAGACACCACTATATCCTCCATCCCTCCTCGATCTCCATGCCAAACCCCATAATCATCCACCAAACCGTACAAACAGTTTTTTTTTTTTTTGCCTCTGATTTGCCTTCTGATGAAAATATTTAGTATTCTGGTCCCCAAGTTTAACCCAATTCTCTTTCAACCGTTGTCTCTAAAATTGCTCTTCTCGTTCAAGTAATCGATTTAATCTGCCTATAAGTTCCTTTTTTTGCTCAATAAATTCCTCCGTAAAAGGGTGGTTTAAGAGATATGTTAGCTTGTCCTCAACTTTCCTAATTTCTTTCGGTCCTAACCTGGCATTACTACAAGCCCAGTTGGTTAACTGCATTCTTGTCCTTTTAATTTTCTCTGTGACCTGGTACATTGGCAAACCATTCATGACATATTCTCACCTATTTCGTACCACTTCAACATACTCCTCATGCATATTCCAAAACTCCTCATAACGAAGCTGCTTTCTCCCCTAAACTACCTTGCGGCCAGACCAATTCAACACCACCGTTACATGATCGGACGTGGATTTCTTCAAATGATACACACTGAACTGAGGAAACATGTCAACCCATTCCTGATTACCCAAAGCCCGATCTAGCCTCACCTTTATTCCACCTAAACCACACAAAATTATTCCTAGAAAAGCTAATATCAATAAACCGACAGCTCTTCACTGCATTACAAAACCCCTCCATCTATCTATCTTGTTGAACATTACCTTCTTCCTGCTCATTAGCTTGGAGAACTTCGTTGAAATCTTATATGCATAACCAAGGCTTGGAGTCACTATGGCAAAGGGACTGTAATAGCTGCTAATATTTATATCTATCAACCGTAGCTAGAAAACCATAGAAAACTGTGAAACGCCAATAATCTGAGTCGTCTGGCACACCTACATCAAAATCAACATGTTCTGAGAATAAGGCCGTAAACATAAATTTATTTCCTTTTTCCATAAAACGCACAAACATGTAGAGTTACCTCTACTATCAACTGTAAAACTATGATCAAATTTCAACTTTAAACGTAAATGGTCCATGTGATGAGAATTACTTTTGGTCTCGTACAAGAACACTTTGGTGGGATCTTGACTAAAAATTAAGCGTTAAAGCGTATGAATTGCACTAAGGTTCCCAAGCCCTCGACAGTTCCAACTTAAACAACTCATTGCTGATGGCAGGGTTGAGCTTCATTAACCTCCACCAAGAAACTGAATAACTCCAAACTAGGCACCACTTTCCTTCGAACACCTGGCCTTGACGCCATATTGTCCTCCTTTCGTACCAATCTTTTACCAAGTTCAGGCAACATTGCATCACCACCCTTATGGACATTAGCCTGCACGCTACTGGATTTCACTCCCCTCTCACCAGCTCAATACTTCCTACGATGTTTCTTCATCCTTCCCTTATGAAGATGCTCAATAATAGGCATTAAGTTAAGTAGGTCAGAGCCCAAGCCTGACACTTCCTATGGCGAACAGCCTTAGCCCACTCCAGTCTGTGCACATTCTATATTGTTCCCCCCACTATCCACTTGCTGGCCCATACCAACCTTATGTCTACCTAAAAGCCCATTAAACTCCTCCCCGTGCGCATTAATTATCCCCCCCTCCCCCATTAAATTAGAGGATGGAACTAGAGAAATATCCCCACCCACAGCTGGTGGGTCATTCAAATTGACTCTAAATAACATCAAACCACATCCTTCCTGATTTGTAGGAGTTGACTGTATTAAATAATGGCCAAATTGTCAATCATCACCTCATCAGGACTAAAGGCAATATTCAAATCTGACAGAATAATGGTTTCATTAATGCTATTATCCTTCTACACATCTCTCCGCCATTCACCATCTGGCCATGCCTCTATAGCTACTGGTGCACTTTCCTCCACCAAGTCATTACTAATCAAGCTCTCGACTTCCTCGACATGCATATGGGCTTTCATAGACCACCTATGCAATGACTCTAACCTAAAACACTTACCTTGGGGGTGACGATAATCATCTCCCAAAATATCATTCTGGAACCAATGGCCATACGGCTTCGAAACACACTGCTTCTCCATATGACCAATAATCCCATATAAGAAACAGGTTATTGGCAATTTCTTATACCGTAAATCAACCCGAACCTCTATTCCCTGAATAGAGAACAACAGACTTCGACGCAATGGTGCAACAATATTCAATGCAACTCTAATACGTAAAATACTACCAAATAGCTCCCTCTTCCTACTCTGATCGGTTAAGACATGATCTCCAATCTGATTCCCGATAACTTGTCCCATATGGCGAGTCATATACGGAAGAGGTAGTCCCTTGACATGTACCCAGAACTCTTAAGACACCAGCATAATACTTGCTGGATGTGCCAGGTTGTCTATCTCCGCCAACACCAGCAAGGCACCGTCATATAGCCACGGCTATCCCTTTAGCACCATCGTCCTTTCCCGTTGACTATCAAATCCAAAATAGAATAACCCATCATCTAACTCAACTATCGTAGCTCTTGTCTTAGGGCGCCAGAGATTTAACATTTGACGTTTGAACTGTTCTTTGTTGAAGGCCTTTCGTGTAAGCATCTGCCCTACTATGAAGACCTTTTTGGCCCTGAGAAAAGTACTCTCATGATCATATATCACCACTACCCTCTGTTCCTCAGTAGTGAGGGCCAACTTATTTACAAACTTCATCACCATATCCTCTATCACCCCAGTCACTACTTGCAAACTGCTTTGCCAGAAACCACAAACAAAGCCCCGTAAGAACCTTACTGCTCGAGAGAACATCCACCCTTGGTGTGCACAAAGGGCCTCTTTCACTGCCAATCGACCTAACTAACGCTTAAATCACCAGAAAAATGACGGTCGACGCCGCAATACTTAACCTAGCGAAACCTTAGAGAGCAATTTTTCTTTTTGTTGTTTTTTAAGTATTCTTTTGGTACTAACATTTAGGTACGTTAATTGAATATATTACATTCCGGTACTAAAATTTCAGGACATACATTTCGATACTAACATTTAGGTACATTAATTGAGTCTTTCAAGTTTAAAGAATGTTAAATAAAATTAATAGATTAAAAAAACTTTTTTTGGTTGAAAAATAAATTAAATGTGTATATTAATAAATTTAAATATTTAATGGGAGATGTTGAATAAAATACACATTAATTAATCTAAATTAAGGACACATCAAGGGACTATAATCAATATGTAATCTAACACCAAGTTTTTATTAAATTTCAATCTTCTTCGAGGATTAAAGTTAAAAAACCCCTTATTCATATTACCATTTGTTAATTACCAAGAATTTTCATGCCACTTAAGGTACGACTGAACTTGGGATGGAGGCATAACAAGATAGGCACGTTAAGAACGGCATCCATGTACCACCTCAACAACAATACAAATAATACAATCGAACTAGAGAGAAGAACATGCCTTAGTTTATGGGTAAAATAAAGAAAGAAGTGTGCTATACTGCATGGTATGCACCCTATTTTACAAAAAAAATTTAGTGTGCTAGGAATACGGTCTGCTACACTAAGTGTTATAGTAAAAGTGAGTGTAAGTATCCAACCACTTGTATTACGACACTTAGCGTACCGGGTCGTATTACCATCACATTAAAAAATCTCTCCTCTTTTCACACATGTTCTTGCAAGGAAATGTTATGTGTTATCATTGTTCTGAAAATTTCCTAAGTGTTTAAAAATTAAGGAAGTGCGTCTAGACTCGTCTAGGCTAGCGCCTAGGCCACCCCTAAACCCTTGCCGATCTCACATATTGGGTCTACCTCATATACGAAGTCAACGCCAATACATATTGCGTCTACATCATATCAGTAAAGCATCAGGAGATTGAAGTCATGCATGCCGGTTCGAGACATCCTTGCTGACCTCTAGATGACGTCACTGCCGAAGTCAACCTTCTAGAAGCTTGTCCGAGGAATTGTATGCCCAACTATTTATATGCAATGCTTGTAGTTCTCATTTGGAAGTTTTGTCAAACTCAGGAGGAGTATCCAGAAGTATAATCACTTGACTCTTGTAGCGGTTCAAAGATTTTGCAACTAAGGTCATATCGTGGACCTCCAAGATATTGTGGTATCCGTAACGGTAAAGACATAACGATTTTGGGATGTGCCTTGTGCGAGTTTGATAAGTAACCAGCGTTAGCATAACAAACAAGGCAAACATCATTCCAAGGATCAGGGGAGCTGGATGAACTCAGGATGCGTTGGGATTAGCCCAAATCCACAGTACCTTCAGGGTAGTAGAAAAACGTCTTTAATATCAATTCAGTGGTTACGTGTAGGTGCGGTTCTGCATCTTTACTAATAGGTCAACAACGAAGGAGATGTCTTGTCTAATGCAATGAGTTAAGTACAACCACTGTTCTAAAAATCTCCGCCTAGGCGCTAGGCCCAATTAGTCCCTAGGCGTTTGAAAATTAAGAAAATGCATCTAGACCCGCTTAGGCGTTCGCCTAGCCCACCTAGGTGCATGCCTAGATTGCGACTATGATTTAGACATAAAATTGATAACTTTTATTTTGCATTTTAATTTTTCAATAAAATGTAAGAGACTTGCTGAATACTTGGATGAACACTCATTATATGCTTATTCTCCATATTTTCAATATGTTCTAATACTTTATAATTTATATGTCATTTTAGTTTGCAATTCATGTATCCTAATATAATTATGTGTGTGTGTTTTAAGTATAAATAGACATATATTTAATCAATATATAATAAATTTACTTAAATCCGCTTAGTTTGCTTAGGCCCTGCATAGCAATCTAGACGCTAGGCTTCAACCCCCGTCCGACTGATGCTTAGTATCTTTTAGAATCTTATGTGTTATATTTACTTTTACATACCCTTTTAGTGAGACATGTCGATTGGTTTTAAAAGCCAAGGAACAAAGCCATGCGTTTTGGACACCTCCACTAAAGTCAGTAATACTTTTCTCTAACTTTAATTAGTTTATTTAATTTAATAAAATTAATTAAAACCCCCAATATTAGCACTGACCCGCTTAAATATGCGTTTTATATCATTGCAGGAGATTTCTATTTAAATGTTTTCTATCCATTTATCATCAAGCTAGGAATTATCTACACTCCACCTTTTTTTTTTTTTTTTTCATTTTAATTTTCTTTAATGATGACTATGTGACCATGTCTTGTTGCTTTTGTCCCTTCATTTCTTAATTCGAAGGAATTCAATTGAGTTGGTTCAGAAATAACTGCCTGCGCATGCATGAAGCTTTAGAGATTGCATGGATGTCAGCTACTCTTTTAGGTTTGCATGTTATTGCCACTTTACAAGGCTGAAATTTGACTGAGGGGTCATAATTTGAGTGGGAGCTAGCTACTCTTCCTGTAAATTGCTTCCTAAGAAATAGTATTTGTTGATGATGGATCTCCAAGGAGACCAGCCATAGCTTTCAAAGGTATTGAAGTGTCAGAAAGTGTGAAAGCAATCTGCAGACAAGTGGGTCTTTTGAGTGAGCGTCATCAAGAAAAACAAATTTATCTTTAGAGGAGAAAATGAGCATTATCTTTACTGAAAGTCAGGTAGAGTACTTCTATTATTCATTAATCTTGGGGTTGATGAGTAGAAATGTTGAAGAAAGCATAACAATATAAGCTAAATTACTAATTAATCTTTGGTTCACTGTTTTTTTTTTTTTTCTTTCTTCTTGTGATTTATCTTTTTTGTTTGTTAGATGGAAAGTGCCATGTGGTGAGCTCAGATGGGAGCACATGGTTTCCTCTCATTTCCAAGCACTCAGTCTGTGTAAACCAATACAGGGAAAAAACTATGGAGGTTTTGGGTTTTTCAAGAGAATCAGTTGCAGAGATAAACTTGATAAACTTACTTGATTGGTGTGGTAGGTGTTAGAAAACACAGAAACCCAGTTTTTTGTTTAATTGGGGACTGTTGGGAACTGTGTATTGAGTCTGTGATGAGAGAACCCTTTAGTACAACTCCTCCATTTTATTTAGTAATAAAATACCTAATATATTTGTTCTTCTCCTTACCTACTTGCTTCCTCATTGCAAACTAGTTGAATTAATTTAGCTGCGGCTTCCTCTTTCCTCAAATCTCAAAGCACAGCTTACAGCTTAATTAGTTTCATATATACTTCCTCCTTCCTGTTCATGCTTTCTCAGACAACTGTTTATCTGCAGTTTCTTCTTCAAATCCCCCATTCAGAACTTTCCTTTCTAGGTTTTTGTTAAAAATATTTGAGGAAACCTCAAAATTTTGAGCCTTTCATTTTTTTCCTGTTTTGATCAATTTTTTTTTTTAATTACGAAAGAGGATTTCGAACTCTAGATCTCTAGCCTATTAATTTAACCTAGGGCTCTACCCACTTTTACCATTGGGCTACTCCTGTGGCTCTTTCATTTTGATTTTTACATACTATTTTCTTGCTTATTCTGGAGTTGAAAACAGGCAGACTACCACCTTTCTGCAATATATAATTTTGTTTCCAGAATTTACCCTTTAGTATTCTTCTCTACATATCTCTACCAAACTTATATTTACTGTACAATATTCAAATCCAACGAAAAGGAAAGTTTTCTCTCCACTTACCCTAATTTTTCCTTCCAATAATTACTTACTCAGGCTTGAGTAATTCGTGGAGTTGGAAAAATTACTTGAAGGTCAAATGGCTACTCCTTTGTGGTTCTTCAGATTTCCACCACCTTTGTTGCTTGTTCTTGCTCCATTCCTTGTATTGATTGGATTCATGGGGTTTGGATTCCTCTCCATCTTCCTAACATCTATGGTACTGATTTTCTCGACCTTTTTTTTCCCATTTTCTAAGCAAAAACCTCTTCATCTGGTTGAGAATAAGTTAGTTGAAGAAAAACTGTTCATTCCTTGCTTGGAAGATGCAAAACATCAAAGTGCTACCCCACAAGAGAAGGATGCTGAAGAAGCACAACTGAGCTCACCGGATTTGATATCAGAAAGTGAATGCCTTGATCACTTATCAACCAGTGATGATTCTGAATTAGTTGACTGGTCGTTTGGAGACAGTGTGGCTCGGAGCCCAGATTTCTCAGATGGCTCCATTTCCGACGAGGATAGCCTCATCGAAATAGCCCTCCCGGGTGGATACTATGTCGGTCACAAGGAGCATGACTCAGTGGTTAACCTGCAGCAGAAAATGCCAGGTCTGTCCATTTTTAAGCAGCATACTATATTGGAGCTTTTGGCTGAGATGAATGAGGAAGAAAATTTGTTCGAAATCGACTTATCCATGGGATCCATCAAGTGTTCAAGGTTTGAGATTGAAGCTTGAGAGTTACCTTCTTCTTCTTTTATTCAATTTTATGACCATTTTTATGTTTTTGATCCTCCATGGATTTGGTTGAAGATAAAGTTTACAACTTTACATTTCGCTTATGTGCAATTGGCTACTTTGTGTTATGATGTTGTGCACGGTAAGCTGCTTCTGCTTTTTGACAAGCTTTGGATTCCCACCAAAGCACTTGTACTATGGCCCTTTTCTTTTCTCCTACTGCACAGTAATTAAAGTACAAAAAGTTTAATTGAAGGTCAAAAAAAAATTATATTTTGTTGGAATTCCACTTGCTTTTCCTTTTCTTCTCAACTTCTTTTTGCTGTCTGTATATACGGCATCACTCGTCACGATTTTAGATCTCCTTTTATTCCTTTTGTGGATTCTGGAGGACATTTCAGGGTGAAGATTAATAAACCTTTTGTTAAATCAATATAAGTTAACTAGTCATTGAGTTGACTAGTAGCATCTATGCAATTACTGCATTAAGAATTATCAATTATAAACTGAATCTGATCTTCAGAGTGTATTACAAACTGGATCAGATCTTCAGACTAAGTATACTGTATTAATATAGTGAACACAAGTAAACTTGACAAGGTTAATTTCTTAGTCGCCACAAGCTGAAGTTGTTATACGAGAGGTACTGTAATGGGAGGAGAGCTCTTTCATATATTTATACGTAGTTGGGCTACTTTTCATATTGCTAATTAGTTTGATGATAGAACATCAACTTCATTAGATAATTGTGTGCACGAGATGTATATTTCTTTCTATCTATTTCTCTTCTTAGTTCACATATCCAAGTATACACCTCTTTGCACCTTGCTTTTAGAAGGTATTCACCGATTACCAACCCCCGCCCCCTCCCTTCCCCTCCCCGGGAACTTATAAGGAGCTATCAATCTCCCTAAACTTTAATTTTAGCCGATTACCCTCTAAACTTTTATAATTGTCCAATTTCTCATACAAACTTTAAGTTTAGTTGATTACCCAAAAAAAAAATACATAATTGGCCACTTTCTAGTAATGAGTTTGTTGAGATGAGTAATTACTTTTCTTATTTGAATTTAGGTCTTGAATTGAAATATCTCAGACGGTCATGTGAATCTAGTCACAAAGAAGGCTAATGAAATGGCTTCACAACCCAACCTTTTGCTGAAAAAGTAAGACCATGAAGAAGATTCATAGTTATCTACATTAGGGATAAAATTCAAACAAAAAGTATATAGAGTGAACTAGCGGAAGAGAAGAAAAGAAAAAAAAATATGTTGTCCATATTAGGAATAAAATTACCTTTTTGCCCTCAGACAATTGTCATGTGTTGTGCATGTGACCAAGAGGGATGAAAATTTCCAAAATCCAACGCCCGGGGTGAATTGGTCAATTATAAATTAAAGTTAAGGGGATAACCGACTAAAATTAAAGTTATAAGGAAAAAAACCAATCATATAAGTTCAAGTGGGGAAATTGGCTAAATTAAAGTGAAGGAAAAAATTGGCTAAAATTAAAGTTCAAGGGAAAATTGACAGCTCTCACAAATTCATGGAAGAAATTCACAAGCACCTCTAGTTTTAATTGTGTTTCAAGTATTCCTGGATCAATACTCCTTCCTTTAAGATAATAGAGGTGGGCACAAATTGGAATGGGCTCAAATTTGGAGGGACTGGACCAAACCCGTTTTGAAATGCAATAGGGGGTGGGGCGGGGCAAGGTGGGTATAGGGATTCCAAGTTTTGGAATCGGACCTAACCCAACCCGTTTCAAACTAGCCGTTTCGAGATGGGTCCTCAAGTCCAATTACATCATTTTTCTTCCCTCTTGTGCAGCTTTAAGGTCTCCCAAGAAACCCTAAGGAACAATTTCTGTTACAAATTCAACAAAAGAACCAGTAAATTACATGACTTTGTCAAAGTGGACAAGTTTTTTGTGAATTTCTATTAGAGAACAAAATATTACAATATAATTTTGAAGCTTAAATAAACTATATGTTAGCACACTTCAACAATATTTCTTCTGTATCTCTACAATTGCAAATATCATATTTTTAGAGCATCTCCAATGGGAGTCTTACTTATGAACTCCCATCACCAACTTTGAGGACTTATTTAGGGGTTTTAAAAGAATATTCAATTCCTTAAAAGAATATTGTCAGCAATGGAAAATCCTTATAGTATAATTCTTAAATGTAGGGACTGACATATTAAAAAATTATTGTTCATTTTGTTGGAGTATTGTTGTCACATCCCGGCCCGGGATATGGTGGAGGCCCAGGCCTCACCAGTGCACCCTGATATTTAGGCATTCTTAGGTTTAAGTTTATTCAAATTTTCCACATCACTACACTTTATGGCTTCGTCACTCTGATATTTAGGCACTATTAGGTTTAAGTTTATTCAAATTTTCCATATCACTACACTTTATGGTTTCGTCACCTTCCAGGTGTCAGCTAACACAGCTCGATTCGGAGTCCTAACAGACATTCCGGGTCGGGGTGTGTCAATTTGGTAATTGTCAAATCTCAGCCCGGGCCCCCACTACATCCCGGGCTTGACTCCACCATAGCACGATATCGTTCGCGTTGGGCCCTAACCACGCCTTCATGGTTTTGTTTCTGGGAACTCACACGAGAACTTCCCAGCAGGTCACCCATCATGGGATTGCTCTCGCGCGAACTTGCTTAACTTTGGAGTTCCGATGGAACCCGAAGCCAGTAAGCTCCCAAAAGGCCTCATGCTAGGTAGATATTGGAATATACATATAAGGCTTACAGGATCCTCACCCCTAGGCGATGTGGGATCTTACAATCCACCCCCCCTTAGGGGCCCGACGTCCTCGTCGACACATTTCTAGCTAGGGGTGGGCACGGTGCGGTTCCACCCTTAAATTGGAACCGAAACCGAAATATATTAACGGTTCGATTCGGTGCGGTTCCATTTAAATTTATTTCTAGAACATTACGGTTCGGTCTACACCGGTTCCGATTCGGTTCTTGCCAGTTTACGGTTCCTAATAATAAATTATTTGAACACCAAATCATTATGCATTCAAATACATCTTCTAAAACTGATTACATAAAGTTGCATACAACACATCTTTTTTAATGCAAATGTCTTTGTTAGTGGCACCAAGTCAACAAAAAGAGACAACTAAAATACATATGCACTGGTCAATTAGTCAACAAACAAAAAAATGATGAAGCAAATTGCAGGTTTTCAGACTTCAGAGAGCAAGCAAGAAGCAGCAGCAGCTCCTGTACACAATTTTTCAACCATTTTTCAACCTATTATACCATGACATGTGTGTGTATATATAATTATTTATTTATTATTAATAAAACGGTTCGGTTCGGCCGGTTCTTGGTCATTCGAAACCGGAACCGGAACCGGTTTGAACGGTTCGGTTCGGTTTTCACTCAAAGTTGACTTTTCCGGTCAACACGGTTTTTTTCGGTTTTTTTTCTTACGATTCGATGCGGTTTTGCGGTTTGGCGGTTTTTATGCCCACCCCTATTTCTAGCTAGGAATTGGCTCTGATACCAAATTGTCCCATCTCGGCCCGGGCCCCCATCACATCCCGACTTGACTCTACCGTAGCACGATATTGTCCACTTTGGGCCCCGACCACGCCCTCACGGTTTTGTTTCTGGGAACTCACACGAGAACTTCTTAGTGGGTCACCTATCATGGGATTGCTCTCGCGCGAACTCGCTTAATTTCGAAGTTCCGATGGAGCCCAAAGCCAGTGAACTCCCAAAAGGCCTCGTGCTAGGTAGAGATGAGAATATACATATAAGGCTTACAGGATCCTCACCCCTGGGCGATGTGGGATCTTACAATTGTGACCATTAATAATAATTAAAAAGCTATCTCTACCATTAATTTTTCAAGAGTTAATAAAATAAAAAGCTACAAGAGAAAATTAATGAGAACCTGTCCCATGTGGATGGGTTCAAAAAATAAGGAAAAACACATAAAGAGCAGTAGCATTCTCACTCAAAATTAATATGGGGTCCACTCTTTGAGTTCCTGTATTAGTCTTTTTATTTGAGAATTTCTTTCAAGTATCAGGCATGTCCCTATATATTGAAATACTTTGAGGACTTCAATTTTGGCCCATTATAAGTTTTTTGTCCCTATATTTAGGGACTATACGGTTGTAGGGACTCCATTGGAGATACTCAAAATTAAATGGTTCTAATTCAGCAAAAGTCTTATTGAGCTCTAGTAATAAATGTTTTTTTTTTTTGAACAAACGATATTATCTACTCTAAGAGGGAGGGGGATGAACTTAACCTCACAATGAGCTAACAATAGTGTGGTTCAAATTCGTCTTTGGCAAGAATCAAACTTAAGATCACTTATAAATAAAAAAGAATACTACTAGATCGTAGTAATAAGTAAAAAAGAGGCACGGATGCCCATATAGCACCTTGTCCAAAGTGGTTCCTTCTCCATCTCCTGCTAAACTCAGATTAGAAGCTTTGGAGCCTTAGACCTACTTTATCCTATCCACATATATTTCTCAAATTGTTTTACCTTTTCTTTTCAATCTGAATTGTTCTTCATGTATTTTGTTATAAATTACTGCTTGTTATAAATAGGCCTCATCCAAGCTAAAAGGGCTGGCTATCTGAGACTTAGAGTATCTCCACCTATTTTAGGAAGGCAAAGACAAATGCAGTGAAATTAATTATCTTTATTATTCACTCTAAACAATAATTACTTTTGTATAAGTCCACTCGCCTGAAAAGAGGAATAGCAAGGGCCAGGATAATTACTATTCTTTTTATAGGTTCTACAGACCAATTCCTGTTGCTTCATTGGGGAGAAAAAAATCATAGATATGACGGTCATTAGAAGGAAGAACCGCCATCACAAATATATTTTTGTATGTTTTGTGCCTTGTAATTTTGTACTTGGTAAGTTTATTCTTTGAAAATAAAATTCCAGGATGAGAGGTGGGCTAAGCCTCACAATAGGCTAGCAATAATGTGATTCAAATTCGTCTTTGACGAGAATCGAGCCTTAAACTTCTCATTTACAAGTAAATTAGAATATCAATAGATCGTATACTAAATGCTAACATTTTGATGTTAATTACAACTTATAAGTGCGAATCGATTAGTTTTTAAATTAGATTCAAATGAAAAATAAACACATATTCAATCATAACATATTTGAGAAACAATTAAAAATAAGAATTTTTCGAACGTTACTCTGTTCTTTAGTAAGTGATTGTCATACAAAATAAAGATAACTTGTGGAAATATTTTGTTGGCAAAATTGACATCTACACATGATTTTTAAATTTTTAAATTTTTGTCAAGCATCTACACATGATTTATGACATATATTGTCACGCAAGCCTTACATCTCCTCCTAGGGTTTTCTGTACCGTCAACAAACTGCCTGCTACGTTAGCATTAGCCACGGCTTTCACTAACGACTAAGAAAAGACCACATCTGCGATCCGATAGATTCAACGGTACAGATCTTTTTTATTTTTTGGGAAAAACAACGGTATAGATTTTTCAATCACTTAACTTTTTCGACTCGGCTACAGCCTGGAGCTAAAGCTGCAGCAGCCGCCTGAAGAATCTCAAAACAAACAGCAGCTTGCGTGTCAATTCCACATCCGTTCGATCAAAGTCCCACACCCTAATCCAACAGCCCAAAACCCCCCACCTAATCCACAACTTATCGAGAAACAAACGGTCCAGAAAAATCCACGTTTATCTTCCGGATTCGTTATTACCCCGCTAGATCCAACGGACCCCAACTTCTCCCTCTCTCTCCCGCCTCGCCCCTACGACGAAGCCATCTGAGATTCCCAACCCCACGAAACTCCCGGAATGGCCGATTCGGATAACGACTCGGGAGGGCCCAACGACGTCAGCCACGGGCAGAGCGGGGAGTTGTCCGCGCGTGAGCAGGACCGCTTCCTGCCGATCGCGAACGTGAGCCGGATCATGAAGAAGGCGCTGCCGGCGAACGCAAAGATATCCAAGGACGCGAAGGAGACGCTACAGGAGTGCGTGTCGGAGTTCATCAGTTTCGTCACTGGTGAGGCCTCCGACAAGTGCCAGAGGGAGAAGAGGAAGACGATCAACGGCGACGATTTGCTATGGGCGATGACCACGTTGGGGTTCGAGGAGTACGTGGAGCCGCTCAAGATTTATTTGCAAAAGTATCGGGAGATGGAGGGCGAGAAGAGCACCATGGGCGGCGGAGGTGTCGGCAGAGAGAAAGATAGTAGCAGCGGAGGCGGAGGTGCGGCGTCTGGTGGTGGCGGAGGCGGCGGTGTCAGCTCTGGGATAAGTGGTGGTGGGTATAATGGAGGGTATGGTGGAATGGTGATGATGGGTCAACATAATCATCATCAGGGGACACATGTACGGTTCTGGTGGTGGGTATCAACAGCACCATATGGGAATGGGAGGTGGAGGGGTTGGGAAGAGTGGTGGTTCAAGTGGTGGTGGTGGAGCTTCAGTTGTCAGGTGATTCTCAGGTCAAGGTAGATGCTTTACGTTGTGGATTTAATTAAGGATGATGATGACAAACTTTTAGTCTTGATCTTAATTCAGATGGTCAATTTTCTTGTGTTTTATCTGCTTGCGGAGAGAACGGAATTCATCGCCATCATGGAAGCCTGGGTCACTAAGGACGATGAACTAGTTCCATCTCTCTGTACGCTTGTAAGTGTAACTGTGGCGAAGGAAAAGTATAGTGGAAGGCACAAATGTATTTAGCTAAAGCTAGTTGAGCGAGAGATGAAGGTTAAGGTGGGTGTGTCTGTAATTGTATCATATCGTGAGCTGAACTTGTTTAATTTCATTGTTTTGACTAAATCACAAATCAGTTGTTGGATATTTGGTCCTTATAAATTCAAATCTGTTTTTAAAATTAATGATTAGACTAATTGGCTCTCATCTTTAACTCAGTTGAAGTAATGGTATCTCATTTTGATGAAAGTTGTAAAAGAGTTGATGAAAATGATTATAGCTGCACATTTTGACGAGTTAAGAACCCATAATCAATATTTTTAGTTGATGGACCATTACTCTAATTAAGTGAAATTGAAAAGATTATTACTACAATTTTCTCTTAAAATTTTTATAATGGCTTGGAGTATACCAAAAAAATTTCAAAATACACTGAAACTCCCCAATGATTCATGGGATTTGCTTCTATGAAAGTGGGTTGTGTTTGTGTTCTTGGAGGAAAGGCTACTTTGAACTATGACCCAAATAGGCATTCTTGTTTACCAAATACAGAAACATCCTGTATACTTGTTTCCACGGTGGATTCTTTGGTGGCTGTACAAAGACATTGTGTCTCCTTCACTTGCTTGTCTTCCATATGGATACCTCCACCAACCAAAACCCATGTGGAGCATGAATATATGGAGTTTAAGGTGAATATGAGTTTAGGGTGACTTGCATGTACCTCAAACAATATTGGATGCATGACCTTGCCTATTTACGAAAAATTCAACTATGTTTCGGTATTCCAATGGATCCATGGGCCTTGGTTGTGCTTCTATTGTTAAAAACATGTCGAATCCTGCTAGTAATGCTTCCATTGTTAAAGACATGTCGAACCCTGCTAGTAATGCTTCTAACTCATTTGTTCCGCACATCATGCTAATGTAGTAGTGATAGACGGAACAAATGGCCCATTTATTTGCAAATGGATGAGCTTGTCATGGGTAGCTTGAATCCTGTATCCTTTTCGTGATCAACTAACTTTTAGTTTGGTGCCTCTTTTCATTTCAAAATTCAGACGGAAATGTTATATTAGTAACATATTTTTATTTATAGTGATTTCCATGCACTATTTAATTATTTTTTTGTTATTAAATTAATTGAATTAAAGAAGAATCAAATGATAAAAATAAATAAAATGCAGAAAGAGAACAAAATGTATAAGAATCATTTCTCTTTATTTAGGAATCAAAGTAACGTTCTGATGAATTAGACTTTTAAATTGGTTTTTTAAGTTGTTCAAGACATTTTACATCTTTCACCGAAGATGTTACAACTTTTGAACCCCCTAGCAAAATGGAGGAGCAAAACCAAAAGGTACAAGGTTTCGTATTCCTTCTGGGTCAAGGGTTTCTATTCCTTCTAGCTAAAGAATATTAATTCCTTAATGCTTATAAATCATACCCTCTTTTAGTACCGTCGGCATTCACGCATGCATACGCAAAAGAGAGAAAAAAAAACCCCGCAACCCAAACTCCATCATAACCAAAACGGTCATGGCCGTCGTCAAGCCATTAGAGTTTCACTTACCTGACCTTGTCATCCAAAACATCATCCGAATCCTTCCCGCTAAATCCGCTGTCCGGATGAGCTTTCTTGCTAAGCAATGGGACCGCGCCTGGTGTTTGTGCTCCATATTAGATTTCGACGAGGGTAGTGATGACGAAAATCTTGATCATGATCAACACAGAAAGTTCATCAACATCTTGAAGAAGTACCTGGAACTCTTTGTGAAGGATGAGCAAAAGAAACATACATTAGATAAACTTAGGATTCGCATGACAGGGTACCTGTACAAAGAGGACGCCAAGATCGTAGATAAGTTGTTGACTTGCTCGTTTGAGAGAAACGTCAAAGAGTTAGACATAACCCTAGGTAGATTATTTCAGAGCGATTGGGACTGGAGGCACTACTACATCATATCTCGAATGAGTTTGCTTGATGCAAAATCTTTAACTACTCTCAGTTTGAAGTACGTGAGAATAAAGAACATGGACATACATAATGAGGGGACTGTGCATATAAGCCTTCTTCCCTCTTTGAAAATTATGAGCCTCAAAACCGTGCGCTTTGAAAGTGATGCTCTATTTTTCTTAATTCAGGAGTGCCCTTCCATTGAGTACTTGTCATTAACTTCCTCCTATTTTGAAAAAGACGATAACATTAATCTTGTGAGTTCTAGTCTCAAGTTCTTGGAAGTTGAGCATTGCAATGCTCGGGTTATCGTAGTTTGGGATGCTCCGAATCTTGAATCTTTTACGTTCATTTCATTGAGCTTTTCGCTTCTTGAGAGTATAATGTTGTATGATTCCTACAACTTGAAGAATATCGATGTTCATGCTCAGCACCTAAAACGATTACATATATGGGGATGTCATGATAGTTTGAAAGCCACAATCACTGCTCCAAATCTAGTTTCTTTTGATTTCTCTGGTTATTTAAAGTCCAAAGTTTCTTTGATAGCTCCAAGTTTGAGGGAGACCACCATCTCACTGAACGAATTTTGGGACGAAGATTTACTCAACGCTTTCAACGGGCCATGGAAATATTTCCCTACACTGGCAGATTTTCTTAAAGAGTTTTCTTGCTCAGAAAATGTAACCCTCATTGTTTGCAATTTTAAGGTACGTACGTATCCGTTTTTGCTTTCATCAGTCTACGTTGTGCAGTTATATGTTGAAAAAATTCACATTTTGGATTTTTAATTTGTTGATTGTGAATTTGGTGTAGGTTGTAATCTTTCCAGATGAATTCAGACACACCTTCTCTTCGCCATTGCCTGGTCTCATAAAGTCCCTCCGGCTCATGGCGCTTAATCCTCCAAGAACTGAGACAGAATACTCTGATACGATAAACTCCTTGTGTTGGGTTGCTCCTTCTGCAGAGACAATTTTTCCACAGTTAGTCGATCCACTGGATGCTTTTTGACCCTATGTTTGGACGAGGATTTGCAAATTCCAAGAGATTGAGGATATATTGTTAGAGATGAACTATAAAGTTGACTTTTTTCAAGTAGTTATTTGTGAATCCATCTGCATCATATCCATTTATTCACTCAGTTTATATCCCTTTATATAATCTTTCTGTAGAGCATATACGACTAACTTAGTCTAAAATTTCTTGGTATGTCTGCCTTCACCATTCTTTTTTTTTTTTTTCTTTTTTTTTTGGGATAAAGACATGAATTTCTCAACCCAAACAAATAAAACAAGAAGAAGAATAAGTAGAACTAACTTTGTAGTAAAATGGGATTGTATATAAATGCATGTAACTCGATTATAGTTGGGTGGCATCTTGGGATATATCAATGAAATAAGGTTGATTGGGCTCCGTAACCAAAATTTAATGAGCATATATTCTTGTTATCTTCAAGTTGAAGACTTTTCTAGGCTATAGTTGGATAAAATTAAGTCCAAGCTATCTATATAAAGTTTTACCGCTCAAGATGAAACTTAGAAGACACGATATGTTGGAATATTATCTAATTTATTAACCCTAGTCCTAATATCTGTGACTTTACCAAACAAAAATTGCGTCATCGAAGAGCCCTAGATCACTCTGTAGCAAGGATCTAAAAGACGTTAGGCATTATTCGGGCAGCATGCTGGGGTCTAGAGCCTAGGCGGGACCTATGCGGATTTATGTAAATTTATTATATATTGTGTAAATGAGAATTGCTGCAACATGAAAGTTATCAATTTTCTGTCTAAATGAGAATTCCTGCAAAATGAAAGTTATCGATTTTGAGAATTGCACCCTAGGCGGGCACCTAAGCGGGTCTAGGTGTACTTTCTTAATTTTCAAACGCCTAAGGACTAATTGGGACAGTGGTCAGCCGCCTAGCAGCTTAGGCAACAGTAGACAGAAATTTTTAAAACAGTGCTTTCTAGTGTATATTTAACGACTTTGCAAGTTTTATGAAGTTTTGAAGAGTTTTATTGAAGCCTTTCTTGATTTTTCTTTTCCTGTGGCCTCTTCTTCTTCTAATAAATTTTAGAAAATTGGGCCTTCTAATATCAATATCCTTGTATTAAAAAAAGGTTATCAATAGTCAATGAATAATGGTTGAGTTGGTAAAGATTGTTTTGTTTGTTAGACAAATATCTCGATTCGAATTCCGCTGCCAACAATCCCTCTTGGTTAGTGATCTGTAAACCAAAAAAGGGCTAAGACCCTCTTTTAAATCCTCAAAGAGAGTTGTGGCACCCACTAAACAAGCAAATAATCACCTACCTTAAGTTCCTTTTTTATAGAAGTTCATTAATTTCATTCAATCTGCAGCTGAACAAGTTGAGTTAATATATTCATAGTGTCAGGATAAATTAAGTTAATATATATTCACACAAGAAATGGACCGTTGGAACATGGAAAATGCCAACAAAAGAAAATTAGTTAACTTGTTAGAGAGAAGACAATGCCACCATTAAAAATATGAACAGCCTGGATCCAATACAAGTCTGAAAATAAAATGCCAACCATCATAATATTATTGAATTCTTTTTTATACATTTATTTATTTTGTGTATTTGTAATTTTTGTTAAGGAGATCAAGCATCGCTGTCCATGTAGTCCCTCAATTTCTTTCTTCAAGCCAGTCTGGCTTTTCGGGAATACACTTCTGCCGACACATGTTAGCTTAATTTTATTCGTTTTTATTTGTTTTTTTGCTAATCAGGATTATTATATAGCTTAATCACCTCATGCATGAGCATAATTACTTGCTTGGCAGTATGCACGAGGACAATGATGTCGCCATTTTATCTGCTTTAAATTCTAATCAAAATTATCTTTTCACATCCCATTTGTTCAAATTTAGTGACCCATAGGCCATATAGGAAGACAAAGTCCTAATTATATTCAAATCTGTGTGATTAACCAGATTAATCTATGGAAAATTATGTATCAACTAATTCAATCTTTTCTGTCTCTTACTAATTTATTCACCCCCCATCGCTTTCGTGTTTCAACCAATATGGTTCAATTACAGCTTCAATGCAATCATTGACCTTTTTAGGAGCTTAAACATGCATTTGAGAATTGACCCTCACTCTCTTGGCAATATTGTTGTTAACTCTGGTGTGTGGTGACCACTAGGTGATTTACCTTTTATCAAGAGAATGACTTACCTATATTTCTAGTATGTAACTGCGACATTTTAGACTGATAACACGATGCTAGTTATTTTAACTTTTTCATCTAACATTACATTATTAACCCGAATGCCACGTATGTGTTCTTAGCTACGCATATGCAAGGCATGAGAGAAGAACTTTTATATAACGAGGATGTCATTATGATGGTATATTAAGTTAACCCTGCATTATTGTGTGTGAAATTTAAAATGCATGACAATACTTAATTGACTAAACATACCACCACAATTACATCTCTATTTTAAGTAAATTTCTCTCTAAAATGAATTGATTATTACATGTGAGAGCATGAGCGGCTGATATTACCATAATTCTTTTTATAGGGTAAAGTAAGAACTAATCTAGTGCCTTAATATATAGGGGCAGAGCTATGAAGTGACTGGGATGATCCTAGGCCCATCCTGACATTTTTTTCACGGAGAAAAGTTGTGTTATGCTTATGAATTTCAAGTTATTCTGTAGGCTCAGGGCCCCAATCCAACTTTTTTACTTTAATTTCTTTTATCGAGTTTGATATGAGGTTGGTGGCTCCTATAGAGTTCAGACAATCTATTGCTTGTGAGCTTTGAGAATGACTTTGGTCTGGCAATCAATGGAGGGAGAAAGGAAGAAATTCAGAGAGGCTTGGGGTTTAGGTTTAAAGAAGAGGATGATGAGGACGACACCTTACCGAACTCAAACGATGTTAGTCGGTTGCTCACCATATAGCAGAGTAATTTTTGTAAGATCAGGAGAGCATTTCAGATTGAGACATTTGGACCCCTCCTAAGTTAAAATTCTAACTCCATCACTGCTAATATATAATCTCATAAACTTACAATTATATAAATGTAATTATCATCCCAAGGACCCACCACTACATCATATTCCCTCATCCCTACCTAAACCAAGCTGGCACCACTTTGAGGGACCATATACACCACAATACAGCACTACAAGTCTGCAACACTACATGCTAATCACATATAACCACACATCTCCTTCTTTTCATTCCCCTTCTTTGCCCCCAAACCCACCTTCGATTCTCCTCTACCTTTCACGATGCAGAAACCACCAGCCCTCACAGCCACCCTAGCCCTCTCTGCCCTCTTCCTCTTCCTCCTATCCTTGACGTCCCAAGCGCACAACATTACGCGCATACTCGACCAGCACCCCTCCCTCTCCACCTTCAACCACTACCTCAGCCTCACCCACCTTGCCACCGAGATCAACCGCCGTCAGACCATCACTGTCCTCGCCCTCGACAATGCCGCCATGTCATCCCTCATTTCCAAAGGACTCTCGGTATACACCATTAAAAATGTGCTCTCCCTCCATGTCCTTGTTGATTACTTTGGCGCAAAGAAACTTCACCAGCTCACCCATGGCACCACCTTGGCTAGCAGCATGTTCCAAGCCACCGGGGTGGCGGCCGGGACCTCTGGGTACGTGAACATAACCAACCTCAAGGGCGGTAAAGTCGGCTTCGGAGCTGAAGACAATGGTGGGACACTCAATTCCTTCTATGTGAAGTCTGTGCTGGAGATGCCATACAACATCTCTGTCTTGCAAATCAGTCAGGTATGCATATTTTAACTGAAATTTTATTATAATTATCCAAATTAACGCTATAACCCTAATGTTATGATAATTAGCAAAGAAAAACTAAAGTCAAAGAAAAGTATCAATTTTATTTTTTATATATGGGTTAATGTGTGATTTTTATTAATTAGATGTTATATAAGTCTTTTGATCAATAGTTTAATTTGATAGTCTACTTAGATAACGTGTCAAGCCTCAAAGTGTCCACTTTTAAATTGATTGAAAATGTTTTTTTTTCGAAAAGATGCTTTTAAAATCAATTTTAATTAATGTCTGATGGTAAAGGCTAGACTATATGATTGTTTTTCATATTTGAAAAATAATAATAATTCAACCATTTCTTGAAATTTATATTCTTATTTGATATGAAGAAATACAAAAATTCAAAATAATACACATTTAATTTTGTCCACTGGACATGCATGTACAGCTAGTGCCCATAAATAAATATATAAAATTAGTCCAAATTATTGCCATCACTAAAAAAAGTTGAGATATACGAGTGCAAGGTGCCATGTTACTCCACCGACAAAAATCAGATTTTGAAAAAGAAAGGAAATTTAAGAGAAAATGTGTCCCTTGAAAATTAGAATATTTTGTGTTTGTTTGTTTGTTTGTTTTTTTTTTTTTTTTCCTCTACTTGTAGTTCATTAATGTCTATTTGTTTCTAAACACGGTCATATATGATTGACTTAATTTGAGAAAAAGGATTGAATCAAATTGTGTAAGTTAGTGGTTAAGATATTTACGAAATTATCGATATTTTTTATTAAAATATTTTAAAATTAAGAATTGATATTGAAATATGTGGAATGTAAACTTCATTCTATATCGGTGAGATATAAAAAAAATTAATGAATATCAATTATATTTACCAATTCACTACATAAATTTTGTCATAACGTATTGCAGATTTCGAACTTTAGATTTTTTTTTTTTTTTTTAGAAACTTTTGTCTAATTCGATTATATTTGAATGAGTTAATATACTTACCCATTACAAATTTCCATAATTCCGTTGAAGACAATCGATATCCGTATCAATATATCTATCGATATTTTTATAAATTTGTATATGTATATTGATATTTTAAACTCTTCTTTTGAATCTAAATTTTATAGAAGAAAAAAATTAGTTAAAATAAAAGCTAGAGAGAAAATCGGTTGACAATATAACATGAAACGTTCAGGCACTAACTTCTGCTGAAGCCGAGGCGCCAACTGCCGGACCAAGCCAGCTGAATCTAACGGCCATCATCTCAAAGCAAGGCTGCAAAGCCTTCGCCGACTTGCTCGTCGCTGCCGGAGCCGACTCCACCTTCGAGACCAACATCGACGGCGGCTTGACGGTCTTCTGCCCAACGGACTCCGTCGTCAACGCCTTCCTCCCCAAGTATAAAAATCTAACAGCATCCCAGAAGGTGTCGCTGCTGCTCTACCACGGTGTCCCCGTCTACCAGTCCCTCCAGGATCTCAAGTCCAACAACGGTCTCGTCAACACGCTCGCCACCGACAAGGCGAAGAAGTTCGAGTTCACGGTTCAGAACGACGGCGAGGTCGTAAGTTTGGAGACGCAGGTGGTGACGGCGAAGATCACGGGGACGGTGATTGATCAGGAGCCGTTGGTGGTTTATAAGGTGAACAAGGTTTTGCAGCCGACGGAACTGTTTAAGGCGACGGTGGCTCCAGCGCCGAAGGAGGTGGCGGCGGGGCCGGCTGATGCGCCGTCGGATGATACGCCGGCGGATCAGACGGCTGATAGTGAGAAGAATGGAGTTGCGGGATTGGACGGTGGGAGATTGGTCATGGTTATTTTGAGTTTTTGTGTTGGGGTTTTGCTTATGTGATTGGTTTGGGAAGGGTATGTTTTGTGGGAAATTGAATTTTGTTTTTTGTTTTTATTTTAATTTAATCCAGTGAATAATGAATTGTAAAGATGTATTGTGCTATACAATTATTTTGCATGTTATACCATTTAAATACAGACAGAATATTGTTGTGAAGAGTACTTAAAGGTGTATAATGATTTGCACAATGAAGAAATTCACGTATTAAAGATATTGTACTGGTACTGTAGATGCAAATTTCATGTAAGGTTAGATTGACGACCCTAATAGCTTAATTGACGAACACCAATAAAGGCAGTGAAGGTATCTGCTAAAGGGCCCGCTGATGTCTAAGAGCAACTCCATCCCTAAGACTTTGCACCAGCACCCAGCCCATTTATCCACTTCAGTGAACAATAATAGACCATAATGAACAGTAATAGGCCAAAGCATCTCCATCCCAAAAAAAATGTGCTGGCACCCAGTCTAAAAATGCGCTGGCACCCAGTCCATTTAAAATAAATGGCGATTACAGATTTTCATGTTTGACTTGGCTATTTATAGACCTTGAGGTTGTAAGGCAGCACAAGTGCATATACAATTCTGTAGTGTTTGGAGCTCCTAAAGCAGCACGTAGTTGGTCATACATTTATTAACTCAAAAAATTTCTTTAGTGTTTGAATGTTACATCAATTTGTGGCTACTATAAAACCAACTGCGCAGGTGTTTTCTTCCTAAAAATAAGTATCTGTATAGTTTGTAATGTTTTAAGGTTCTAATGGAGCACACAGTTTGTTATACAATTGCGCGAGTGTTTTCTTCCTAAAAAGAAGTTCTTTTGCAGTCCTAAGTGTTTGAAAAGTCCTAAAGCAGCACACATTTGTTCATATATTTATTGACTCTAAAAATCTCTCAAGTGTTTAATGGTAGCTACCTGAATTGAACTCTGACTTCCACTCTGCATTTTCATTGCAGCAAAAGTTACTGGTCAGTTTATTCTTCAATTCCAACGGAAGAGAAAGTGAATTTTCACGAAACCATGCTCATGTATGAAGGCCCTTGCTAGCGATCGGAACTCCATCCCATCGCGAATTGTTTCGAAGACATGGAAAGAGAGCTAAGACAAAGGACGTTTGAAACTAAAGAATGACTCTCTCTTCTCCCTCGTTTGCTGCAGCTTCTCTCTGTTATAAGAGCTGAAAGTACAAGTCTGGCAATTATTTGGCAGCTACAACTTGCTTGTCCATCACTTCTTGTCTTCACACATGGATGAAATTCTCCTTCTTTTATAATTTAGTTAAAAATTACTGCAAGTTACTACTGCCTCTCATTGCTCTCAGCTCTTCCTCCGTTCATAGAAGCTAGAAGTCCGACTTAGGCATTTTTTGTGCAGCTGCTACAGTTTCCTTAGAGCATCTCACTGTTTCGAGCACACGGAATGATACAGTGAATGGATTATCATCAAATTTGTATATGTTACACTAGACACAATTTGGAGAAAATTTCATGAAGTCGTTTTTAGTTGATCACTTTAAGCTGACGTTTTGAGCCCTACAATCTAACTGAAGACTATGCGAATCCGAACATCTATCGGTGTGGGATGAACTGGGAATTCTACAGAGATTACATTGGCACCAATTTTGGATATGTTTGAGTAGAAACAGTTTAAAACCACTTTCATGAAGAAACTTGTAGCTTAAGTAATGAAGAAAATTTACAAATACTCATGAGTCCATAGATTATTTCAAAACAAAAACAAAACCAAAAAGCCAAAAACAAAAATTACATTACCAAAGAAAAGAAGAAAAACGAAATACAACCTAATTCCCACTGACACAGAGTCATGTCTGTGTCTTATTACAAACAAACATAGATACCCAAACTCCATTTTTTACATGACATCAACATCATTACTCATATATACATCCCATGTCTATTCCCCAATCATTTACCATTTTCCAAATAAGGAGTGAAGAAATGAATATCACCAAGTCGATCATTAGTTGGTGAATTCCCACCATACACCAAAAGGCCTTCTTTCCCCTCCCACTCCCCACGGGCGAACGCACACCAACCGCGAGGCCCGGGATGATGGTCCGAGCCCAGGCCATCATCCCACCTCTTCCACAGCAATGTTTCAGTGTCCAATGCATAAACCTCAGCAGCAAATTTCCCAGCACCCAAGTGGCCCAAGTCACTTGGGTCCACTTCACCGCCGTATATGATTATATATTTACCAATTGCTACTGTAGAAAATACACTCCGAGCTGTTGGTTTCTCGCCGCTTGTCTCAACTTGGGCCCACTTACCCTGGGCTGGATCAAAGATGTGTACATCATCCACTTCCTCTCCAGCAAAGCCATACACAACCCATATTTTCCCTTGGACCTCTAGCAGGCCCGGCCCACCCCTCCCCTTCAAACTGTCACCCGGATTTGGGTATTGTATCCACTTTTGATCAACGACATTGTAGGCCCAAAGATCATTGAGACGGCCGGCGACACCACATCCACCGAATATGTATACATGGTGGTCATTGGAGGTGACTGAGTGGTAACTCCGGTGAGGGGGCCCGGTGTCCCCACTTGAAATTAGAGTCCACTTGTTTGTGGATGTGTCAAATGAATAGAGCTCATTGAGTTCCTTGTGTTCATAATCCCTACCTCCAAATACATAAATAATTTCTCCAACAGCTACCAATGTCACACCAACACGTGGCGGTGGGACATCCCCGGTTCCTTCGATCACGGACCACGTCAACTCCTTGAGGTCAAACACGTGGAGCTTGTTGTCGACGGGGACACGTGGCGTGAATTCGCCTCCAAAAACATAGGCCTTCTGTCCTACTAGGGTAATGGCATGTGAGCTTCTTGCTCCAGGACCAGTCCCCTTTTGATCAAGCTGACACAGTGATACAGATTTACAAATGGATACAAGTAAGATAACTTTTTAATGAATAAAACTATTTGTTTCATATTTTCAAACTACATTTTTCAAATGATTTTTATGAAGGAAAAAATTGGACAAATGCAGAAGAAACTTTCAGTAGGTTTTGATGGATGTAACCAAGTAACTGGAAACAAACAAATAATATGTTAAAATTGTGGGGAAATGGAAGCATGCTAGCAACAGAGTCACATTTTGCAACAAACAATATACCAATCGAGATCACACTACACGTTATAATCTGACGATGTAGAAGAGATTTTATCTTATCATTTGGGGTAATGAGTAAGACATTCATATGGGTGTTCAAACTTTTCTTATGTTGTGAATCTAAACATGTAAAGATTATACTTTAAACGCTCTTCGGGTCAACTAAAGTGGGTGATTGCAGGATAATAAGTTAGGATTAAGATGGGTAAAGAGTTTGATTCTCTTCCGACGTAACCAAAAAGAGAGCATATCTACTTAAAAAAGCCACAAATTCAGATTATAGTTGTAAAGTCTACATCAAATCATGGAGATTTTCAAGTGTTTTCATTGATTTGAAGGAAGATGGGCAAATCCAATGCAAGCTGAACATGTAAAAAGATCCAATCATTAACCAAACAATCTAAACCCTAAACCCTAACAAAATTACAAAGGAGAAGAGAGAAATAAAATTAAAAATATATATATATATGCACCACAGAGTTTGGATAAGCATTTGATGATGAAATACAGTACAACTGCAATTAAGGTTTCATCAAATTTTGAGTAATTAATCCTTGAAATTAAGCTGATGATCTAAATTAAACAGAAGTTGAAAGGAAATTAGTGAAAGGGAACAGACCTTGATCCATTTGCCTTGCACCAGAGACATGGCTGGAGAACTCTCAGTCACTGTGGAAACTCAGTTTTGGTGGTTTCTCAAATGCCTGGAGATCTGTTGGAACAGACTCTACTTTGTACACATATATATATAAACACACACACACACACACATATATATATATATATATATATATATATATTATCGTGACAATTTTTGTCGTTTCCAATTTGGTTCATATTACTTTAATATTCACAGTTTTAGCTCTGTAGTTGGTGCAGTTTGCAATCGAGTCCAAATATTATTAAATTATGTTGAACTTGAACATTAGATTCGAAGCTTTAAAAAATATACAACTACCATATGTGAGGGCATTTTGTTCTCTCCACATTTGCAATTGACTCAAACCTTAATCATTTCGTTCTGTTTTTTTCTTAACAATTTTAGACTTGTAGGACTTAATTGCTAACTAAACAAAACAACGGGATTCAAATTCCGAAAACTAAAAGGATGGGGATCAAATTGGAAAATGGCTCCAGTTAGAGGACTAAAAATGTGATTTGACCTTGAGACTAAAGGCATGGGATGCACCTTCTCATTTATATTTTAAGGTAGTGGATTTGGATGCAAAATCTGTTTTTTTGTGGTTGGAAAAGAATCAATTAATCAAACTACCTCGTATTTAAATATTTTGTGAAATCAAATCTAACCTCCCCTGGAAGGACTTCTTATTTTCTTTTAACTTTTCTAGTGCAGTTTTGTTTATTTTTTTATTTATTTATTTATGACATCAATGTATCTTAGAACCATTGGGGGTAGAAGTTTAAGGTTCTATTTTCCAAATAAGAATGAATATTAAAAAAGAAAAAGAAAAAAGAGTAGTGTAATGTCTACTTGTTGCACTATATGACATGTTATTTAATTTATGCTATCAAACTTTGATTTTGGAGAGATTTTTCAGTATGCCTGGAACACAGGCACACACGTTTTATGTAGTATATAAGTATAAGAACACTTAAAAAGAGAAAAAAAGTAACGTTAGAGAGACTAAATTTGTCAAATTAAATGATGTATCATCAATAACAAATAAGCATGTTAATCAACATTAATAATCAAATATCAACTTTCATGTCATTCAATTTATAAAATTTAGTCTACAAATTTAGTTTCACTAGCGTTACTCAGAAAAGAAAAAAACCTCTCTTCACTTGTACATAATATCATATAACGTACCGTCTTATAATCCAAGTATATAAAAAAATATCTCCAAATTTTGGAGTACGCACATCCGGTACGTCATAAGAGGAGGTGTTAGTGATTGGCCTAGAGGCAAAAGCACGGTGTCCCAATTATCTCACAAGAAGTACCTAACCACGTGATGAACCTGTTTGCAAGTGCATAACCACATGATGAACCTGTTTGCAAGTGCATTTAAACTTAGTTAAAAACATTTTATAAACCAATACTCATTAACAAAATTATAAGTCAAAAGAGTATTCATTACATTGAAATATAAGTTAAAAATATTCGAGTTCCTAAAAGAATATTGTCTATAATGAAAATTCTTTATGGTATAATCCTTAAATATAGAGACTAAAATATTAAATAATTAGTATTCATTACATTGAAATATTGTAACCATTCATAAAAATAAAAAGCTATCTCGACCATTGATTTTTCAAGAATTATAAAAATGAAAAAAAAACAAATGAGAAGTTGCCCCACTTGGGTGGGTTAAAAAAAACAAGGAAAAAAACATAAAGAGCAACATGATTCTCACTCAAAATAAATATGGAGTCCACTATTTGAGTTCCTATATGTAGTCCTCATTTTTTAAAAGTCTTTTGAGGTCTCCGGCGAGTGCCTATGTATTGAGATACTTTGAAGACTTCAATTCCGTCCCATTGGAAGTCATTTGTCCCTATATTTAGAGACTATACGATTGTAGGGACTCCATTTAGAGCAATTCCAGTGTGGGAACCCTCCCAGGCAATACACTATGCTATCCACCTAGTGAACAGTAACTGCCCTTAATGAACAGTAACCGCCTTTTGCATTTCCACCGTTGCACTTCAATAGACCTGGCAATAGGCAATAAAATATTAGTATTTTTTTTATTTATAAAATAATACAAAATAATTTTATTTGTAATTTCGGATAAGATTTTTAATCATTCTCGTTGCGCCACGTGTCATAAAATCCGAAAAGACAATTATTGGTGATGGATTTCCGATAAGATTTTTAATCATATTCATTGCGCTATGTGTCATTATCCGAAAATACAATTATTGGTGATGGATTTCCGATAAGATTATTAACCAATCACGTCGCGCCACGTGTCATAATCTGTTTACAATCTTTGAGGATAGATTTCCATCAAAATTTTAACAAATGACGGTATGCCACGTGGCGTTATGTACAACCTAAAGTTGCTACACAATGCAAGATAAGAAATAATTATAATGTAAATTTTGGTATAGTACAAACAAATAAATAATATATTGTTACCTGATCCGCGTAATTTTCCCCATTTTGAATATTAGTACTAGTTTGTGCCAAGGTATCTCTCCACGTACTAAACAATTGGCTAAGTAATTTCCAACGACTAGACATCGATTCTTTGGTTCTTTTCCCACTCATTTTCTCAAGATAATTGGTATGAATAAGACTCCACATTTCTCGCAACTACATCTCATTACCCATAAGTGAACTATGAGTAACTTCAACCCAGCTAGTACACAACGCAATATCTTCAAGAAGTGTCCAATTCGTACCTGCATCAGTAGTCATTTTGTTGAAAAAAAAAATGGATTGAAACTTTGAGAGAAAGATAGGAATGTGGTTGAAAGTAGTTGAGAAAATATAAAATTGTGGTGTAAGGTAGATGGTAATGAGAAGGTATTTATAGAAAAGTTAAAACAATTTTTTACAAAAAATTTCAAATTTTTTTTTCCGATTTTTATTCATTTTTTACAATTTTTTAATTTTTTTATTCAACTAATTAATCTCTGTCGTGAGATTTAAAAAAAAAAAATTGAATTCCAACACTCCAGATTGTGCCACGTGACACAACGGTAACATTTATGAATTTTAAAACTTTTTTTTAAATTTATAAAGGAGAATAATATCAACAGTTGATCTCAAATCCAACGGTTGATATTAAATAAGATTTTTTTTGTTTTTTTACCGTTGCAAATCAGACAATCCACATTATATAGCCATTGAGATACAATGGACCATGGGAAGCCACGTGGCTTCCCAACTGTAACTTTTTGAAACTGCACCATGGGCCCCAGGGGTTGAAACCGTGTCGAGTGATGCGCCCCCACGCGTGGGTGAGATGCACGCACCTGACAGAAAAAAAATAAAAAATTGGGCTGACACCTGGATGACGCCAGCCCTGTGCTAGATCCACTTCGAGCTCGCGAGCTGGCAATTCCTCATAGGCTTGGTGCTCAAGCCTCCGCTGTCCCTCGGGCTCCCCACGCTGGAGTGTGTAGGCCGAGCTCTCGGGCCCTTTTTCCTGGCATGTCCCCCAAGCAAACTCCCACACTGGAGTTGCTCTTAGGGTCTCCATTGGAGATGCTCTAAAAACACTAGGAGAAACACCTAGATCTCCACTTCACGTTTGTATTAAATTTTTGGCTTAAATGTCAAAATGGTCCTTGTGTTTAACCATTTAGTAAATATAATTCCCGTGTTCTAAATTTAGCCGTTTTAGTCCTTATGTTTTACACATTTAGCCAATGTAATTCATTCCGTTATTTTAGTGTTAAAATTCCATTTCAAAACATTAAAACTTTAGTTATTTAAAGAAATAGACTCCAATTAAAAAATGATAACATTTTTGCCAAAAATAAATAAAAGTTCAATAAACTATCCAAAAAACATCATAATTCATACCAAGAGGGGTACCGGAGAAGGGAAATCAGGGAAGTGGTGCAGATTGATGCTATGAAGGTGGCACGGATGGGGGAGGGTGCCCTATCGAGTGGATATCAACTGCTTTAGCATACGAGTCAGGCGCATTCAGTCCTGCTCTCAGAGGGAACCGTTGCGTGAAGATTTACGAGAGGGAAAGTGAGTGGTTGCTACAATAATTCACAGTGATAGGGGTGTTGCCTTGGGTGTGTTCGATGGTGATGGTGGTGTTGCTAGAAAGGACTACTTGGATCATAAGCACTTTTCCTTCCTACAGAAGCGCTTTTTCTAAAATCTGTTTTATTAGAAGCACGTCAAATCAGTTATGTAAGTTGTAAACTTGCAAATGGATCTCTATTATTCGTCAAAGGCAAGATACAACAAACACAACTTGTATATTTTACATCGAAGCAAATAGCAAATGCAACATATAGTGTTGAGAACTCAAATCAATTAGCAAGTTCTTGAACTACAGTCCCAAGAGTAGTACAGCTTGCAGTAAAAAAAAAATGAATGTATATATCCTATCTGTGACTTAGAACACAAGTTATTTAGCATATCATTACATAACGCAAAGTAAATGACATCAATCTATACAGGAACCAATATTCAGATAGCTAGGAATCCACAGTAACTGTTGTTACAACCATATATGTTATTGAAGTAGAGGTCAACGTTTCTACTGCGGATCACCGGTAGCCTGAATCTTTTCCATATCCCGGTTGTTATAGTACAAGTAGCTTCTTTTTCCAGAGGATGTAGTTGTGCTCAGCGCAGTAAAACCGGCATAGTCCTTGTCTGATTTTGCCAAGCATATTTCTGCTACGTAGTCAAAGAGTTTGTTTTTCTTAACAAAGGGTTGAGCTGCGTAGTCCCCAACTGGCATCCACTGAAAACAATCCCCAGAAAGTAACACATTAGAATAGCTTCGAATCATGTTAATGATACCTTTTAACACTTGATAAATATGATCACATTACCACCGAATAGTTTAAACAAGATTAACGATTATACTCAATGACAGATTTTTTGTGCCCCAGGAAATTACCTGGGCTGCCTCAATCTCCAAGTCCTGCTTTTGGATGTCGAAGGATTTTGGGGTCAGCATGCAAACAAAGAACAAATCTGACTTTTGAAAGAATGACTTGTGGCCTTGCCTGTAGAGAGATGGAGAGGATATAAAGAGTTCTTTCTATAGAATTATTTGCATAATAGTAACCTGATGCATGGCTTGTATAAATTCATACA